AAGTTAAATGAAAATAATTCTTTTTTTTTTTTTGAGAGATTTTCACTGTAGGGCGCATGCGCTCGCCAGACAGACAGAGAGAGACATAGAGACAGAAAGCGAGAAATCACCCCCCAGGGGGGATGGTCACGCCGCAATCCCTTCTCCTCCATTCTCCTCTCGGGATCTTGGGCACGCACGCACACCCCCGGCGTGAGTTTTAAGCCACTGGGTCCGGGACACGAACCACGGTCGACTACGTCGGAGTCCAGCGACATAGCCATTACGCTAACTGCTGGTTCCCATAAAAATAATTCTTAAGAAAAAACACATCATGACTTTCCGGATGACCCAATATTTTACCTTGGTCTTGACCAGGCTCACTGAGGATGAAAGGACCTTGGGAAGTCCATCAGTGAGGTTGCTTGGTCACCTGGTTGATCTTGGTCACCTGGACCCAGATGGTCCCATCTCAGGACATTCCCATCAGCACATGCTACAGCCTTGGTGGATTTTGTTCCAAGTCATGGTTTCTACAAGCAAATGAGCTGATACGTTGAGCTCTAGCTCTTTTTATGGCACTGACAGTGGTCACCCAGCTTTGGTGGTTGATGACATAGCTGAGTTGGGTAGCACTCAATTTTTTTTTTAAAGAGAGATATTTTTGCTATAGCGCGAATGCCCTCACCAGAGAGACAGAGAGTGAGAAATCAAACACAACACCCCCCCCCCCCACCCCCAACACACCAACACAGTCGCTTCTCCTCTCCTCTCCTCTTTGGATCTTGAGCACGCATGCACACGTGTCTGGCTTGGGTTTTAAGCCACCAGGTCTGAGACTCGAACTGTGGTCCACTATGTGGGAGTTCAGCAATGCAACCATTATGCCATCTGCTAGTCTCACACTCAGCTTTTTAGAAACACAGACCTCCATCCTAAGACTGCCATGTGCCATCAGAGACCTGAGTCTCAGTTCTGTTTTGGCCTCTTTTATTTTCTAGCTTAATGATTTGAGTATTTTCAAGATATGTTGGATGGTTTGTGCCGCTCCTCTGGGACAGAGAGCTGATTACAGTATGTCTGCTCTTTCCTCCGCCCCTGTTCTGTTTCCTGCCCTCCTCTGACCACCACCTTCCCTGCCTGCCATGCCTGCTGCCCATCTGCTTGTCCCTACAGCAGCCTGAACAGTGTCAACAGCAGCGACTCCCGGTCCAGCGGCTCCCACTCGCACTCGCCCAGCTCACACTACCGCTACCGCAGCTCCAACCTGGCCCAGCAGGCGCCTGTGAGGCTGTCCAGTGTGTCCTCCCACGACTCAGGATTCATATCCCAGGACGCCTTCCAGTCCAAGTCACCTTCCCCCATGCCGCCCGAGGCCCCCAACCAGGTAAGGGTGCCCTGGGCTCTAGGAGTGGCTCTCATGCCTGATGCCCTGACCACTTTCGATGACTGGAACCAAGCAAGGACTGTAGTTTGGACAGAGCCCTCTCTACCGACTTGCAAATCCTCTGGCTTAATTTCTCCGCTTCAGTCGTGTGTCCCCCAGAGGGAGAGATACTGTAAGTTGGCTTTGAAGCCTGTCTTCATGGCGGTCACGGTCAAGTTACTGTGATTTGGGAGCTCTCACGCATAAGTGGACAGACTGAAAGAGGGTTGGCTGCTCCCTGGCGTCCAGTAAGTACCCAGTCAAGCAAGATGCTGTAATTGATGGGCATTGGTGCAATAGGAGCACCTCCTTTACCCCCATCTCACAGTCTCCCTGAATGGCTGAAACTCTGAGGTTGACTAGTGTTCCCGACATCCTTCCTTGACCCTCTTAGGCTCCCTCTATCAATTTGCCTTGAGTATGAGAAGGAATCTTCAGAGCCTCTGCAGATGATTCTGTTGGCACTTTGATTATGGGAGGGGGAAGGGAGCCATGGAATCCCCTTAAGCACAGTTGGGTTGGATGGTGCTAGGCCCAGCCCAGTAGCTCCAGCAGGAGCAGAAAGTAGGAGCTGGGCAGGGCATCAGAGCACCCTTTGTGTGCATTGCTGCAGGGGTCTGTGACTGCCTCTCTGTCCTTTCTCCCGAGTGCCAGTGGTTTGGCTTCTGGCTTAATCCGTGGTAAGAGCACAATATAGAGAGCACTAGAAATCCAGGGTAGCCCACAACACCAGCTAGCTTCTGGGAAACCTATGCCTACTTTACTCACCTCAGCTCAGTGCTACTTTTAGCATTTTCAGCCATCCTGGGGGAATGCGACCGCTCCCGCCCCTTCAGGTGGGAGCTAAGAAAGGCAGCTCTAGTTGTATTGCCCTTGTCCTGGCTGGGGTGCTTCGTCTGGGTTTCTAGGATGTCACCCTCATCCCTGGCCTTGTGCTTCACTACCCACCCCTGCCAGGCTTGTAAAAAGAGAGACTGGTCAGGAGAGCAGGAATCTGCAGGTCCTCAGAGGTGGTTCTGATGTGCAGCTTAATTGCGTGTTTGTTCTTAACCAACTAACACATTTACATAGTATTGTGCACTGACACCCTTTCCTAAAAAAGTGAGCCTGTGTGCTTCCTGTCACAGACTGTGTGGATTGGGCTGAAGCAGAGGGTTCTGTCTGCGGAGCTGTTGAGGAAAGCTGCAGGTGGCCTGTGGGGATTTGCTTAAATCTGAAAGCCGTCACTGCCACCGGAGATCTGCTTGGCTAGCAACTCAAGGGGAGTTTTAATCAGCTTGAGGATGCCACAGAATTTTATAGAGAATTCTTTTTTTTTAAAGGCATTAAACTGCTTATAATGTACAAGGCAGAAGAGAAATGGAAGGAAGCTATACAAATCCCGGTGGGCAGCAGACACCGTCTCCTTTCTTCAGGGTGGGAGCAAGGGGTTACCACCTGGGAGGGGCCAGATCCCCTCTTTCTCCACTTGTTAGCATGAACCTAAAGGAAGGCCAGGTGACGGGATTTGTCCAGAATACCCCACTTTTCTCCCCTCTCCTCTTCTCAAATCTTGTTTAACCCACATGGCCTAGGACTGGGGTCACATCTTTGGTGAGGGTCTTGCTCTAGACTTATTCACTCATCTGAGACCAGAAGCCCTTTAGAAGAAATGAACAGCAGTAAAAAAAAAACCCACCTGAGTCTGCAGTGCTGGACTGGGTACTGGTTCCCTTTTTTAAGCCGAACATCTTGAATTAGAGGAACCAATATGGATAGTCCTGGTAGTTTATAATGATAGCTGGCTTGTATTTATACTCGGTCAAGCAAAACACACACACACACACACACACACACACACACACACACAGTCTTATTAATAACTTCATCTGTTAGGGACCAGCAGAAGGCATAATAATTACATCGCTGGACTCCCAGCAGTTGATTGTGGTTTGAGTCCCGGACCTGGCCATTAAAACTCACTCTGAGCGTGTGTGTGTGTACGTGCCCGAGATTCTGAAAGGAGAATGGAGAAGTGATAGTGGCATGGCCATGCCCCCTGGGGGTGATTTCTCACTTTCTGTCTCTCTGTCTCTCTGTCTCTCTGTTGCACACACACTCTAGCAAAAAACTTGCTCTAAAAAAAATTATATCTGCATTATATATATTTTCATCTGTTAGCTACTACTGACTCATAAAGATTAAAAAAATTGAGATTTAGAGAGCTTTGAAAAAATTGAGGCTTAGAGAGCTTTAAATCCACAGTGCTTGAACTGGGAAGTGGCAGAAATGTGACTTAAATCCAAGCTTTCACCCTTTGGATCCGAGGCTGCAGACTGGTCAGGCTGCAGCTGGGATAGCCCCTCACCTGGTAACCTCTCCTTGCCTTGGCTCCGTGGAGCCTCCTTGATCTTGCAGGACAGGAAAGCTAAGCCCCTGTCCCTCTGCAGCAGCCGAAGAAAAGGCACAGAGACATAAAGCTGGCCTTTTTTTTCATTGATTTTCTTTTTTTTTTTTTTGGCTTTGCTATAGGGCATGTGTGCATGTCAGAGGGAGACAGAGAGAGGGAAAATGAAAAAGCTCCACTCGGGAGAATGGCCACACTTCAGTCCCTTCTCCTCTATTCTGCTTGGGATTTTTGGGCATGTATACACACGTGCCTTAAGTGATTTTCAAGCTTCCAGGTCCAGGACTCAAACCGCATAGTGAGCCGTATGGGATCCAGCTACCTCAGCCTCTATGTCACCAGCTGGCCTCAAGCTGGTCCTCTTAACAGAGAACGCAGGAACACTTTCAGGGAGACCACAGTATAGGAGCGTTGGGTTATTTAAACAAACTGAAGTAAAGCCAGAGATTGTATTGGGTCTTCGGAAAAGTCATGATCCATTTTTGTATAAAAAAAAACAGAAAAATTCATGATGACATTTCTGACAGACAACCTGAGAGTTAACATGAAAAAAAAAACTTCAAGCAAGTATCTGGGTGGACACTGGGCAGTACCTGGGGACCCCATTGACATAAAAGAGATGGTCATTGTCACTCATCCATTCAGTATTTTTTGAGCCTCTGCCAATCTGCCGGGTCTGGGACTAGAAGCTCAGGATGTCATGGTGAACTAGCAAGGATAGTCCCTGCTTCACTGGACTTCAAAAAGCCACAGTGGCAGCTTGTGCCCGGCTGATATTAGGAGACTAGCAGGACCTGGGCTTCAATCAGGTGAGCATGAAGGGAGGCTTTTCCAAACCAGACCTCTCTGGTGCATCATCCCTCCCTTCAATGCCCACTGACTGTATCGTGCTGACCATAGGGCTTTACTGCCTCAAAGCACTCCCCCGGCAGAGAAGCCTGAAAGTGTGTGTTGTGGCTTCAGAGCTGGGAACTGCAGCTCCAGAGGCTGCATTTGCTGAAGGGAGAGGCTAGGATTAGAGCCATTCTAGACAGACTTGTAGCCAGTGGCCAGGCCGCGGACAGTCCTCCTGCAGTCAGCGAAACCTGCGTGTGTAAGAGACGGGACAGGCAGGGCCTCCCTAGAGCCCTGGGCTTGTGATCAATGCCTGAGATGCTGCAGCATCTGTGCCAGTGCCTTGACCTGGCTAAGGTGCCAAGCACGTTTTGGATGTTGGTGAAAGACACACACATCAGTGTCCTTGGGGGCCCCAATGTCGTGGACTAGAGCTGGCCAAGCCTCACGCTTCTCTTCCAGGGCTTACAAACCTCTGTGTTGTGCAACTTTGGGGAAAAAGTAACCCTAACCCTCTGCTTCTCTTATCTTCCCTCTTTTGTGTATATGTCTGTCTCTCTGTGTGTTCTTCCCCACCCTGACTCCTTTATTTTTATTATGATTTCTTGGTGGCGTGTGGCTTGGTTTTTCTCGGTCCCCTCGTGTGGTCCCTCCCCACTACAGAACTCGTCCAGCTCGGCCTCCTCGGAAGCCTCCGAAACCTGCCAGTCAGTGAGCGAGTGCAGCTCCCCCACCTCAGTCAGCTCAGGCTCCACCATGGGCGCCTGGGTGTCCACAGAGAAGGTGACCGGCCGGGTTGGGTCGCAGCCACCATGGTCCCCTCTCCCTGCCCCTTCCCTGCCTGTTACAGGAACCAGAGAGCTCATACTGCACACAAGATTGGGCCCCACCTGGGGAAAGGGGGTGGGACAAGGCTGAGGGGTGCACATTGGCCAGATGGATCATCCCGAGGGAGTGGAAGGGTATGGGGAACGTGGAAGTGTGAAGGCTTCTTGCCAGAACAGATGTCGTGTGCTCATCCATTCCCTCCCCTCCCCAGGCACCCCTAACCCCTGGACCGTTGAATGCGCCATTTCACCCTGTCAGAGGCTGTGTGCTTTTTCGCCTTTTGGTTTGCAGCTCCCTCCACCCACCCATCACCACCACCCTTGATTTGGAATGTGCTTCTAGACAGTGATGATTTTGGAAACCTAGAATGAACAGATTCACTGGGAGACTCTTTAAACCTTTACAATTTGCATAACGAGATAAGCAAATGACTATCACTGTGAAATCCTGCTTGTTCCTTAAATGATCAAAAAGGCATTGAGACTGCCACAAATTAAGGACACTGACCAACTTCCTAACTATTCGGAAATGCAGGTCAACTGTTTCCTCGGCTAAATACTTACAGTGTCAAATAAATGCACATCCTTTGCATCCTGTGCTTCGAGGCTCATCCACAAGGAGCAGAACCCCCTGAAGTTTGTTTTATTTATAAATATTTAGGACCTCCCCGTCCTCGAATGTCAATGCCATCTTGTATCTCCACGTTCATCCTGTTGTATTAATTTTTTTTCCTTTTCCCCCCTTTTTGTTTGTTTTGTTTCCAGTTGTCTAACGGGTTTTCTCACTGTAGTCTATCAAGTGAGTCCCCTGTGGGGCCCGTGGGTGCAGGCCTTTTCCCTCATTGCCTGCCTGCCTCCCGCCTGCTCCCTCGGGTCACCTCTGTCCACCTTCCAGACTACGCTCATTATTACACCATTGGGCCCGGCATGCTCCCGTCATCTCAGATCCCTAGCTGGAAGGTTTGTGTCTCTCCTCCCTCCCTCCCGCCTCTCCTCTCCCCCTCTCCCCTCCTCTCATTACCTCTGTGCTCACCCCTCTTCTGTTCCACCATCCTCACCCTGACTCACCCCCTCACCCCCTTTCTTTCACACTTTGCCTTCTTCCCCATAACTCCTCTCTCTCAGTAAATTCCCACTGGGGGAAAACCGAAAGCAGCGGGCAGCTCCAAGATAGTGATTTCCATGTAGAGAGGGACCTGGGGCACTTCCTTAGGGAACTTGAGTTAAACCAGGAAGACCGTGGACCAGCGTGCTTTGCAAGGAGCAGCTATTCCAAGTCAAAAGGCCCAGTTCCACCAGGATGAGCTGGCTGGGATTATTCTCTCCAGGGGGCCAGCTAAGGTGCCAGTCTGAGCAGAGAGATTCTAGGGGGCCAGGAAGGACTGTCCTTCCTGGCTACGTGCCCCATAAGCTTCCTCTAGTGAGTCCCGTACTGGGCTATGGTAACAGAACCACAGCCTGAAATACTTTACCTTAAAAGTAGGCACAGAACTTTATTTTTAATCTTGTCCATTTTGTACTAAAACACCCTTGCTTTAATATAAAAACAAAGCTTTAAAATGATCTCTCAGCAAGCTCAGTGTTCAATTACTGTTCCAAGAGAACGTTCTACTTTATTTTGAGAGGAGGACCTTCATTTGAGAAGTGTGCCCCTTGGCCACCAGTATTTTGAGCAGATTCTGACATCAGCTCTGTCAGGTTACTTGGACCCTCAGACTCCTCAGAATGTTTCTGCTGACCCCAGGAGCCTTCCCTTCCTATATGAGGACTTTAGGACTGGGATTCTCAAGTGCCCTTTGAGGCCAGTCTCCCAGACACAGAGGATTCAGCTGTATGTAGGGAGTAGGGCCAGCGTGGTTCTAGTGCCCCCTGGTGGCCCCTCCATTAGTGAAGTCCTTTTGGTTTTTAGGGGAGAGATGACACCTTCAGATAAACAGAGGGGGGCAGGCCTAGTTCCTGAGGCCGTGCTTTCTTCTGGCCAGAGGAACCATCTAGCACATGCTGGCCACTTGTTAGGTGACTGTTAACTAAGAGTCCCCTGCTGCCTGCCTGGTTGTTGAGGGTTTTTATTCTCCAGCCAGATATAAGAGAAGGGATATACCAGAGAGTGCCCAAAGGGTTTCCACTCCATTCCTTGGGGAGCTGGTGAGGGTATGTAGGGGGTCGCTGTCTGGTCCCAGCCTCAGTTTCCCCCTAAGAGGACCAGCTGCTTCCTCTGGGCACCTTTAGAGAATAGTTGAGCAGCTCCCCCAAATGGAGGCAGAGGCCCCAGCTCCTGACCACACTTGTTCTGCTTAGGACTGGGCTAAGCCAGGCCCCTACGATCAGCCCCTGGTGAATACCCTACAGCGCCGCAAAGAGAAGCGTGAGCCAGACCCCAACGGGGGTGGACCCAGTACCACAGGCGGCCCACCTGCCACTGCCGAGGAGGCTCAGAGACCGCGGAGCATGACCGTGTCAGCTGCTACCCGGGTGACGTGCCTACTCTCTCTATCTGGCTAAGTCTACTTAGGCCTTGCTGGGAGTCACATGCTGGCAGCACCTGGGGACCAGGGCAGCCTTGCAACTGGAGGGACCCAGGCTCCATTCCCCAACTTCTGCTTTACAGAGCCTTGTATGGGGATCAAATAAATAGAACTTTCTAGAGCCCAGATAGGACCCAAGCCGGGCAATAGCTCTCTGGGCCTATAGACACGTGGTGGTCACGGGATGGATTCTGAGGCCCCACCCAACATGTGTGTGAATGGGGGCATCACCCAGGGTTTGTCTGTGTCTCTCTCTTTCCTCTGACCTGCAGCCTGGTGAGGAGATGGAGGCTTGTGAAGAGCTGGCCCTGGCCCTGTCACGGGGCCTCCAGCTTGACACCCAGAGGAGCAGCCGGGACTCGCTGCAGTGCTCCAGCGGCTACAGCACCCAGACGACCACCCCATGCTGCTCGGAGGACACCATCCCATCGCAAGGTACAGGGCCACCTGGGGTTTACAGTCAGCTTTCTGAGCTGTGCCAGTGAGGAGACAGAAAGCCAGGCAGCCTAACCCGTGGCTTGCAGAATGGCTTCAGAATCATCGTCCTCCTTTGGGGATGCTGCGGGGACTTGACTGGTAGTTGTCAGGTTGCTGCCACGTAAGACTGTGACCTGGACTTTGGCAGCTTTTTCTCATTTGTCACCATCAGGGACCTCATGGTCCTCAGTTGGAACTGGGACACTCAAGCTCTTATCCTCCTCTAGCTGAATCCTCTAGCAAACCTGCCTCCCTCAGCCCCATCCCTACCACACACGCAGGTCCGGCAAGGTAAAACAGGTGTGTGACAATTGACCAAAAGTTATTTGCAATCCCTCAGTCTGAGCCTTTAAGACAGTAAGTTTCAGTTAGGTGATTTTGTTCTCCAGGGGACATCTGGGACTATCTGGAGACATATGTGGTTGTCACAACTGGAGAGGTCCTCTTGGCTCTGGTGGGTGGAGACCAGGGATGCAACCCAACATCTTATAATACACAGCCCCGCCCCCGCCACACACACACACCTCCCTCAATAGAGAAGGATCAGACCCAAATATCACTATGTTCAGAAACACTGATGTAGGGCGTTTAATCTTCAGTTCTTCCTCCCAGGTCACCCTGAGATCCGCATTGTACCATTCTTTGAAAGAGAGTGAGCATGGGTCACTGGTGGGACCTGGCTCTGTGCCTTGTTTTCAGGGACTCGTTGCCAATAACTCGTCCTTCTGGCCCTCCCCTAACCAGTTCACTGTCAGGAAGAGGTTAAGGCCTGGACTAGTCTCTGTTTCTCATGTCAGTTCTAGTCTGGAGGGCTTCTTTTCCATCCCCTAGTTCCTCTGGGGGATTCTTGGAGATAGATTTGCTGCAGCCTGGCAGTTTTACCTTCTGCTCTACTTGACGGTATTTGAGCACCTGCCACACCCAGTGCTGTTCTAGGGGCTCAGGGTCCACCAGTGAACAAACTAAGGACTCCTGCCAGGGAGTCTCCAGCTGGCGAGACCCTCCACGGATGGTACAGGAGCTTGGGGAGGGCTTGGGACAAGATCGTGAGCATGCCCTGCCTCGGGCGCCTTCTGCCCTCCTAACGGATGATCTGAAAATCAGAGCTGCTGTCCTGGGTCTGTCTAATCAAATCTTATCATCAGTTTCAGATTACGATTATTTCTCTGTAAGTGGAGACCAGGAGGCAGAACAGCAGGATTTCGACAAATCCTCCACCATTCCACGTAACAGTGACATCAGCCAGTCTTACCGACGGATGTTTCAAGCTAAGCGCCCAGCTTCCACTGCTGGCCTCCCCACCACCCTCGGACCTGCCATGGTCACCCCAGGGGTTGCCACCATCCGACGGACCCCTTCTACCAAGCCTTCTGTCCGCCGAGGGACCATTGGAGCTGGTCCCATCCCCATCAAGACACCTGTGATTCCTGTCAAGACCCCAACCGTCCCAGACCTCCCTGGGGTATTGCCCACCCCTTCAGATGGGCCAGAAGAGCGAGGTGAGCACAGCCCTGAGTCACCGTCTGTGGCCGAGGGTCCCCAGGCTGTCACCAGCATGCCCTCCTCCATGTGGAGTGGCCAAGCCTCCATCAACCCTCCACTCCCAGGCCCGAAGCCCAGTATTCCTGAAGAGCACAGACAGGCAATTCCAGAAAGTGAAGCCGAAGACCAAGAAAGGGATCCCCCAAGTGCCACTGTCTCCCCAGGCCCGATTCCAGAGAGTGACCCTGCAGACCTGAGCCCAAGAGATAGTCCGCAGGGAGAAGACATGCTGAATGCCATCCGGAGGGGCGTGAAACTGAAGAAGACCACAACAAACGACCGCTCAGCCCCTCGCTTCTCCTAGGCTCACAAGAAATGCTGCCAGTGGGGATCGAACTGTTTAATTAATAAAATCGAATTTGTCTTGATCCATTCCAATCTATAATCAAACAAGAGATTTTGTAGGCAACTCAGAATACAGCTCTTTTGAAAGTACCTGACACCTTTAGATAAGAATTAAAAGCAACATATGTAACTGACATAATCTTGATCTTTTAATTTGTAAATATTGACAATTTTCTTTCTGCACATTTTAATCTTAGTTTCCCTTTTGATTTTTCTGAAGGTGCCAAATTCCATTTAATTTTTTTACAAATCTTTGTAAAATTTTAAATGCATAGGGGGTGGGGGGCTGGGGGCAGGGGGGGCTGGGTGCAGGGGAACCACAAAGTAGTTAATTTCAGAGAAGGATTACTATACTCAGCTTTTTCCTTTCTTTTCCCATCCCTGCAAGCTTTTGTAGATGCATTGTAGTAGTCTAGGTTTAGAAGCAAATTCAAGTTATTTTAATGTACAAAGTGAATAGGGGGTAAAATCCTCAATTATACTGTTCTGGAAGGAAAAAAAAAACAGGAGTAACAATTGATGAGCAATATTCGGAGTGAAGTGAATCTGGAGATGGTAGACTGTTGGGATTGGGGGGAGGGCTGTGGGAGGGGCACACTGTCAGCATAGCCGATCCTGGTACATTTAAGAGTAGCCTCGTAGGTTGAATTTCTAGTAGCTTCATGGTAAATGCATCCGAATAAGCCATACTGGATTGCAGTGTTTGTTTCTGTAGGGTGTTTAAGGACTTCTTTTCTCCCACAATTCCACTCAACTGCACACAGCACCCACCTCTGATCCCGTGCATGCTGCTGCCCCTGGGTAGACATAGAACTCCCTCACTTTAGTTTCTTGTCTGTTGTACTCACTTGCGTTGAATCCAAATACATCCAAAAGGGTAAGGCAGTTTTTAAAATGTGCAAACATTTAAAAATGATAGCAGGGAATTCTTTAGATATAGCAAATGCCTTTTACTTAACTGTGCCCAGCAGGCTGGGTGCATTGAAAAGCCCAAATATTTTGAAAAAACTCGAGTGGATTTAACAAGGGTAACCAGCTTGGAGTCTAGCAACTTGCCAATGTGTTTACCAATCTGGAGGCTTGTTTTTCTTATCTTCTTTTTTTAAAAAATGGCAGTTAATTGGCTCATACTAAACATTGAATTGAGGATGATTTATTTATTGTCACTGGGAATCTGACCACTATACTGTCCCTTTCTAGTAATCTCAGTACCATTTTCTTTTGGAATGGATTTTTGTCTTAAGTGGAAGTTAAAATTTGTTATAGTGCCCATCCCCTAAAGCCAACAGAGATATGTAGATTTAAAGGGGTCACATTTAGAGAGAGAAGTATTTAAAAAAATAGGCAAACCCTTAGCAGTTAGACCAGTTGCTAGTGCACATCTGTGATGTACCTCTTAAGGAACAGGAGTCTGGGGGAGTCCCACATACTCTGCAGATTTCTGTTGGCTCTGATCTTCGACATAATCTTATGCTTTAATACATAACCGCACTGGATGTGAGAGTAATGTACCTGTATAGTCATTGTTCTATATATTAACATTTAACACTGCTGTGATTGCTCAAGGACATTTTATGTTATGGCTTTAAAGCAAAGGCATGATTCTTAGAAACTACTTAAGCCTTTTTCTTTGGAAAACAAGCTCCTTTTACAGAATATAAGCAACAGTAGTGCCTGTGGTTTAGCCCACCAATCTCGATGACTAAAAGTAGCTGATGCATTGTGCATATGATGCTTGAGATGGTTTTTGCAAAAGCAGAAATCACTGCAAGGTAATCACAATAGATAAAAGTGGTATTTTAAACCTTTGAAATAAATGGATGTAGCTGTACCTTGGTACAGCTTTTCACTTGTTTAGTTTTTAAACGTTAGTATAATCTGAATAAGTTTAATATAAAATGTTGCCAAATTCAATGTAGAAAGAATGTGACAAAACACCTTGGGTAGTTCTGTTTGTGTTTTTGCATATTGTAAAAGCAGTGTCACAGCTAAAAAAAAAAAAATAAAGAAAACGTTTCTAAAGGTAAATTATTGTGGTTTAGTTGCTAGTTTGTATTGAGAGTTGACCTCTCCCTGTGCAGTTTTTTTGTTCTAAACTTGTATAAATAACAATTGTGTAATGTGTCTCCCTTCTACATTGTAACAATTGCTTCAGCCTACATTATAAATAAAGAACCATTAGAGAAAAAAAGTCCTGTATTTCAAGTCTTATTGAAGTTCAGTTTGAGGTCTTAAGTCAAATATTGGAAGATGGACTGAGACCCAAATTGACCTTACTTGGAAAACTGACATACTACTATTTTTGGAGATGTATGAGCCCTGAGAACTAAATTATTTGAAAATACCTCCAATGAATTATCAAGGTTTGACTGACAATTTTTAAAATTGCTTTATCTTTAAAAAAACCAAACAAACAAAAAATTTCTTGAAACATTTAAAGAGTTCTGCCATATCCTTCCTTTTGAATCAGCAGATAATCCAAGCTATGATAGAGGAAGCAAAACTGGAAAACAGCCTCCAAAGAAGTGTCACAGTTTTAACCCCAGGTTTTGGGCCTTTTAGCCTCAAACCATCACACCTCACTGTCACACTACACGAGGGGAACCACAAAGTAGTTAATTTCAGAGAAGGATTACTATACTCAGCTTTTTCCTTTCTTTTCCCATCCCTGCAAGCTTTTGTAGATGCATTGTAGTAGTCTAGGTTTAGAAGCAAATTCAAGTTATTTTAATGTACAAAGTGAATAGGGGGTAAAATCCTCAATTATACTGTTCTGGAAGGAAAAAAAAAACAGGAGTAACAATTGATGAGCAATATTCGGAGTGAAGTGAATCTGGAGATGGTAGACTGTGTTGGGATTGGGGGGAGGGCTGTGGGAGGGGGGGCAGGGGAACCACAAAGTAGTTAATTTCAGAGAAGGATTACTATACTCAGCTTTTTCCTTTCTTTTCCCATCCCTGCAAGCTTTTGTAGATGCATTGTAGTAGTCTAGGTTTAGAAGCAAATTCAAGTTATTTTAATGTACAAAGTGAATAGGGGGTAAAATCCTCAATTATACTGTTCTGGAAGGAAAAAAAAAACAGGAGTAACAATTGATGAGCAATATTCGGAGTGAAGTGAATCTGGAGATGGTAGACTGTTGGGATTGGGGGGAGGGCTGTGGGAGGGGCACACTGTCAGCATAGCCGATCCTGGTACATTTAAGAGTAGCCTCGTAGGTTGAATTTCTAGTAGCTTCATGGTAAATGCATCCGAATAAGCCATACTGGATTGCAGTGTTTGTTTCTGTAGGGTGTTTAAGGACTTCTTTTCTCCCACAATTCCACTCAACTGCACACAGCACCCACCTCTGATCCCGTGCATGCTGCTGCCCCTGGGTAGACATAGAACTCCCTCACTTTAGTTTCTTGTCTGTTGTACTCACTTGCGTTGAATCCAAATACATCCAAAAGGGTAAGGCAGTTTTTAAAATGTGCAAACATTTAAAAATGATAGCAGGGAATTCTTTAGATATAGCAAATGCCTTTTACTTAACTGTGCCCAGCAGGCTGGGTGCATTGAAAAGCCCAAATATTTTGAAAAAACTCGAGTGGATTTAACAAGGGTAACCAGCTTGGAGTCTAGCAACTTGCCAATGTGTTTACCAATCTGGAGGCTTGTTTTTCTTATCTTCTTTTTTTAAAAAATGGCAGTTAATTGGCTCATACTAAACATTGAATTGAGGATGATTTATTTATTGTCACTGGGAATCTGACCACTATACTGTCCCTTTCTAGTAATCTCAGTACCATTTTCTTTTGGAATGGATTTTTGTCTTAAGTGGAAGTTAAAATTTGTTATAGTGCCCATCCCCTAAAGCCAACAGAGATATGTAGATTTAAAGGGGTCACATTTAGAGAGAGAAGTATTTAAAAAAATAGGCAAACCCTTAGCAGTTAGACCAGTTGCTAGTGCACATCTGTGATGTACCTCTTAAGGAACAGGAGTCTGGGGGAGTCCCACATACTCTGCAGATTTCTGTTGGCTCTGATCTTCGACATAATCTTATGCTTTAATACATAACCGCACTGGATGTGAGAGTAATGTACCTGTATAGTCATTGTTCTATATATTAACATTTAACACTGCTGTGATTGCTCAAGGACATTTTATGTTATGGCTTTAAAGCAAAGGCATGATTCTTAGAAACTACTTAAGCCTTTTTCTTTGGAAAACAAGCTCCTTTTACAGAATATAAGCAACAGTAGTGCCTGTGGTTTAGCCCACCAATCTCGATGACTAAAAGTAGCTGATGCATTGTGCATATGATGCTTGAGATGGTTTTTGCAAAAGCAGAAATCACTGCAAGGTAATCACAATAGATAAAAGTGGTATTTTAAACCTTTGAAATAAATGGATGTAGCTGTACCTTGGTACAGCTTTTCACTTGTTTAGTTTTTAAACGTTAGTATAATCTGAATAAGTTTAATATAAAATGTTGCCAAATTCAATGTAGAAAGAATGTGACAAAACACCTTGGGTAGTTCTGTTTGTGTTTTTGCATATTGTAAAAGCAGTGTCACAGCTAAAAAAAAAAAAATAAAGAAAACGTTTCTAAAGGTAAATTATTGTGGTTTAGTTGCTAGTTTGTATTGAGAGTTGACCTCTCCCTGTGCAGTTTTTTTGTTCTAAACTTGTATAAATAACAATTGTGTAATGTGTCTCCCTTCTACATTGTAACAATTGCTTCAGCCTACATTATAAATAAAGAACCATTAGAGAAAAAAAGTCCTGTATTTCAAGTCTTATTGAAGTTCAGTTTGAGGTCTTAAGTCAAATATTGGAAGATGGACTGAGACCCAAATTGACCTTACTTGGAAAACTGACATACTACTATTTTTGGAGATGTATGAGCCCTGAGAACTAAATTATTTGAAAATACCTCCAATGAATTATCAAGGTTTGACTGACAATTTTTAAAATTGCTTTATCTTTAAAAAAACCAAACAAACAAAAAATTTCTTGAGACATTTAAAGAGTTCTGCCATATCCTTCCTTTTGAATCAGCAGATAATCCAAGCTATGATAGAGGAAGCAAAACTGGAAAACAGCCTCCAAAGAAGTGTCACAGTTTTAACCCCAGGTTTTGGGCCTTTTAGCCTCAAACCATCACACCTCACTGTCACACTACACGAGAGAACTCCGCACACTCCAGGCTTATTTGTGACTCTGGGTTTCTTAGGGAGAGCTGCCCCTTTAATAAGAGCTGAAATTCCATTAGCAGAATATCTCGAAAACAATAAAGGTACTGTACTTCAGGTCCTCAGTAGTTCTCTTAGCCCGGTATCTTCCTTCCAGTCTTTATGGCTATGGTCATTTTTGTATCTGTTTTTGCAGCGAAGCTTTCCCTTACTGATGGTGGGCTATCTGTAAGATTTACTCACCGAGGAAGAATACGTCCAACTGACCAACCTCACTCAGTGTTCTCTCCATGTGCAACTGACAGGAACGACAGCGGCACAGTCACCTGGCATCCTTGGCAATCCTTAGAAGAACAAATAAGTCACACCAGACTAGGTTTGGTTATTTTTATTAGGGCAAGTGTGTATGTTCTGAAACTTATTTCACTTGCTTGTGGAAATACTGAGGTTCTTTCTCTACATGGGCCGCTCCCGGGGTCTGGTCACAATATGCCACCACAGTGGGGGCAAATCACCTTCCTTTCGGGCAGGGGGCAAAGCTTCACTCTTGAAACCAGTAGGGGGGGTTTCCTCACGCAGCTGCTGAATCTAGAAGGAGGTAACAATGGAACAGTTACCACAGGAGCCTTAACTGAAAACCTGCTGTGGTGAAGTGTTCCCTTCATGTCTCTGGTGTGTGAGTGACACAACCTGATCCTCACTACTGAGGTTTTTATATGGAGCTGAATTACTTTCTTACTTGCATTTTCACTCCAGCTTAGATTCTATCATGACATTTGCTCCTTTTGGAATGACCTCAAGTCTCTTGTCACTATACCAATTGAATCATCTACCTCCCAGCCTGCACCAGTTTATACAGCAGAGGAAAAAAAACCCAAAAAATAACTGGAATAAGTTGGTGTCATAACATTAATTATTTCCAATTTCAAATGGATTTTTCACCACTACCTGGCAATAGTACTACTGCTAATCTCCAGCAAACCTCCCTCACCCCATCAAATGACTATCACACTCTTGCCACTTTCTCTAGGCATGCCATACCCACTTCTTGGCTTTTCCTCTTATTTCATTAAAAAATAAAATATAAGTGAAGTCTGCCATCTTCAAGACGTGCAACCCAAATGTATTTACATACATCTTTTTTACATACATCCCTTTTCTTCTCTCTCTACACTCTTCCCTAAAGCTTTCTTTTTTAGAGAGAGATTTTTACTATATCATGCACTTGCCAGAGAAACAAAGAGACAGAAAGCGAGAAGTCATTCCCCGTGATGATGGCCATGCCGCAATCCCCTCTCCTCCATTCTCCTCTTGGGATCTTGGGCGTGCGCGCGTACACACACACACACGTTCCCAGGGTTGAGTTTTAAGCCTCCGGGTCTGGGACTTGAACCATGGTCTACCACATGGGAGTCCAGTGACATTACCATTATGCTGTTTGTTGGCCCCAAATCTCTGTGGCTTTTAAAAGAACTCAGAACACAAAATTCTGTTTCCAGGCCAAACCTCTCCTTGGAGTCCCAGATTTCTATATCCAAAGTTGCCTACTGGCATTGGCATGTGATGTCTCACAGGATTCTCAAACTTACACTTTCTAAACGGAAGGCTTGGCTGGCTGACGTCTGTCTCCTCACTCTGCCTGGTCTTCTCCGTCTCAATGACCACCACCACCAGACTCCAGATGAGTGAAAGTGAAACCTAGAAACCACTCCTGACTCCTTCACGTCTCTCACCCACCCCCAGCCAACCCATCTTCCTATTTCTTGAAAAGAGAGCCTGAAGCTCTCCTCTTACCCACTGCTCCCACTCCAGTGCTGGCCACCACCTTTTCTTTATTTTAAACATAATTATTATTATTTTTAAAAGTCTCGCTGTCCCGACTCTCCTGCTTCAGCCTCCCAGCTGGGGGTACAGGCACACATGCACCACCATGCCTGGCTCTATTTCTTTTTTTAAGACAGGGTCTCACTGCCCAGGCCAGCCTTGAGCTCACAATCTTCTGCCCCAGTCTTCCAAGCTGCTGAGATTACAGGCACACAACACTGTGCCTGCCCTTTAGGATGGACCAAGGATCAAACCTGGGCCTCCCATGTGGTCCTAGCCTGCAGAGCACAGCATCCAAGCAGCACTCGTGGCCACACCTGCGCCAACACCATAACCTTTTAACCTTTTAAACAAATGAAATAATCCGAAGTTGGTATCTACTCCTGCCCTCTCCAATACATTCTTTGCACTATAGCAACATTGCACTTTAAAAAATATGACTCTAACCATGATAACGTGACTGGTAAGTGCCTAAGTCTCTAGTGGAGAGGCAGGTTAAGGATGCCAGGGAAGAGCAAGGTCAGGCAAAGGACTGAAAGGAAGTGGAGAAGCAAAATGAGAGAAGAAAATGAAAAAAGACCAGGAAATGCATTAGCCTATCTGCAACATGGCTGTAAACGTTAAATTCTATCTGAGAAGCAAGGGGTCTGAGCAGTCATCATGGCTGAACTCTAGACTGCACACAGAGCAAGACCTGACTCCGACCCAGTGCTGCCCGTGTAGGCCACGCTATGCCGTGAAGGGCAGGTAAGACGGACCTCTCGCTCCCAGCTTTCCTTCCGCAGCTTCTTCCACTGCTCTCTCTTTGCAAAGTAGTCAGGATACATCGCCTTCTCAGAAGGATGCCAGTCATCTAAGCACCACTCCGGAACCTGTCAGGAGAGATCGGGGTGTCATTCCAGAGGGCACATTTACATGGCCCTGGCGAGGACTGCCCAAGAGATGGGAGGCAAAAATCAGGTATATTTTTTGGTTTTGCAATAGGGCACATGTGCTTGCTAGAAAGAAATGAAGAGGGACAGTGAGAAATCACCCCCTAAGGGGCACGGCCATGCCACAGTCCCTTCTTCATTCTCTTGGGATTCTGGGCATGAATGCACACATGCTGGGCATGATTTTCAAGCTGCTGGGTCTGAGACTCAAACCAAACTGTCGGCTATGTGGGATCCAGCCACATGAACGTTCACACCATCTACTGGCCATCCAGGCGCATTTTTATAACCACTGCAACTCTCAGATTGACTCTAAGCAGTAAGCAGTAGAGGACATGCAGGGACCAAAGATAAAGGAGACCCCTGTAGAGTAAAAGATCACACGGGTCAGAAGCAGCAGCAGCAGCGCCAACCCAAAGAGAGCTGCCATCATTCTGCCCCTGCCGGCGTTCTCCAAACACCTAGAGCAGTTTGTTGTTCTCTGGAACATCAAACAATATACCAGAAATACTAAGCACCAAAATCCAAGCTGGGTAACATTAAGGTCCCCAAAAGAGTTATTAGTCAAGTAAAGTTAGCACTTTGCCAAAAAGTTTACTGGAAGACCCTGAAGCTGAATTTGGAAAGTCTTAAAACACCTAAGAGAGAAAACTGACACCTGAAAGTAAGTATCTGACAACTGTCAAGAAAGAAATCTTGGAGACTTCTTGAGTAAAAGGCATTTATAAGGCTGAGGTGTGGGACTATAGAGACAAAGCCTGCATCTCAGAAGGCAGCCGCCACTGTGATCTCCACCTACCTTGTAGCACTCGTACCTCTCGAAGGAGGTCCCCCCAGGAGAGTCAGGGAAGATGTATGGCTGTGGGTGCTGGTTGTACCAGAATTCCTTCTCTGCCTCCCTCAGCAGCTGGGTGGCCTTCATCATATCCTTTTCATCTTTATGTTCATCAAATCGAGCTCTTAACAAGCAAGCAAAGTACCGGTACTTGTCCCTTAAACCAAAATGATTTTGGAGATTAGAAACGTCATCTTCTCAAGTGGGCAGTTTCACTGTCTGACAGCAGGCTGCACTCCCACTAACACTCCCTGGATGAGTAGGGTAACCTCCTGGCACCTTCCCAACCTGTCAGTGGAGCATCATATCATTATGACTGCTTTCTCTGCGCCCCCTAAACATCAGCAGAAAAAAAAATATAGCCTAGCTATTTTCTCTTCTCCAACAAAAGAATGGTATTTAAACAAGGAGGGGAAAAAAAAGAAAAAGAAAAGAATTACCAAAAGAGAAAAGCTATGGCTTCTGCAGGGTTTTCTGGACTCATTCAATGTTACCGAATTTCCTTGCTTTGCTAAATTTTGCAGATACCAAGATGAATAAGATGGTGCTTGAATCCTATGGTCTGGGTTAGAATCCTGACTCTGACACTACTAGCTGCATGACCTTCAGAGGTTCTGACAGTCCTCAAGGCCACAGATAACAAGCACCTGGAGCAGGCAGCTGTGCTGGTGACAGCAGGTTTTCAAAGTAGGGCTATGTGAGCTGGGGTCTCAGCTGTCGGTATGAGCTGTGTAACCTGGGACAATTATGTAAGGTCACTAGGCCATGGGGTTCTTCTCTATAAAATGGTGCTGGTCATAGTATGCACATTGTTAAGGCGATCATAAAGACCCAATGGGCCAAAACATATAAACACACTTTGTAAAAGTGCATGGTATATCCTACACGCTTCAAAGTATCTGTCATTGGCCCAGCCACAGTGGTACAAGCAGGAGAGTGCTGTTGTGTGGTGGATGAGACTGCATGGGAAGCCTGGCTTTGGGCCTTGTCCAAATTAAATAGGGTAGGCCCCACGATGCCCACCTGTGGTCCTAGCTAACTGGGAGGCTGGGGCCAAATGATGGCATCGCAAGACACTCTGAAAAATACCTCGTTTTTTCCATTATATGTGCTCTCTCTTGTTTTGGGGAAAAAGCCTTATTTATATTATTCCATTACAGAGAGAACTGCAAAAATCAGTGTCCAATTATACTCAGTATGTATGTGTGTTATGGGCTGAGGAGTAAGTAGGGAATATCTGAGACCTAAAGCTTAGTCACTGAATTGCTAATAGTGCCATTAGGTGAGGCAGGGGATCTGGGAAAAAATCCAAATGGGACACTGAAAAGAAAATGAGTTTGGTTTTAAAGAATTTGGATGAGTTTCAGAGAACTATAGGGCCTAACAGCTATACATACAGCTCTAGAGACAAGTGAACAGAGATGGTACCTCGATTCTCAGCATTAAACGAGGCTGCCCAGAGTACATACATTAATAACAGAGCCTACAATGGAACCAGAGACCCGAGACTATGAGGGAAAATAAAGGAAGATATCTAGACAAGAATGAGAAAGGATGTCAGTGAGATTTTAAAAAACAGTTAGTGCTGACATGACGTGGTGGCTAGTGTTACCATTTCCTCCGTAACTATGACTTTATTTATTTATTTATTTATTTATTTTTGCTAGAGGGCACATGCACTTGCTAGAAACGGGGAAAGGGAGGGAGCAAGAAAGCACCCCAGTGAGACAAGGTCACATTGCAATCCTTCCTCCTTCATTTCTCCTTCCCATCAGGATTTTGGGAGCATGCACGGACACGCAAGCACATGTGTGCACAAGCACGCACACATAGAGCCAAGCATATTTTTAAAGCCCTACAGCTGGGATTCAAACCCTAGTCATCCACGTGTGATCAGCTTCCTGTACACAACACTTAACTCCTATCTGAATTCTTAATAGCTCAGTTTCCTTCACCTTTATAAAATTGATGATTCTGTGATCTTGTTTACATGTCCATTTTGATAAATCTCTGTTACCCATTTGTTTACATATCCATTTTCCCCACTAATCCATGAGCTGCTGCAGCTTAAAAAAGGATTCACTAACTTTTATTCACTTGGCATAGAACTTGAATGGAAAATTCTGTCAAATGAACGAATAAGGAAAACTCAAGGAAGCAACTAACAATCCTTCGACATGGTACCTGGTCATCTTCCTGCATAGTACAGAGAGGTACGTTGATGACTTTCAAAAAAGCATAGTGATACAATCTGTGCTTCAAGGAGACCCTCTGCAACGCTTCCCGGCCTATTCAGCTTCCCATCTTTTGGAGGTTTTACCCAGAGGTCCTTCTCCAGGGACTAGGTTGTAGGATTCTGGTACAAGCCGGGAAGGCTTGTATTCACACAGCTAGTGCTGTCTCTCAATTCGTGTTGCATTTAGGTCACAAAAATCTCTGTATTATAACACCATGTTCTAAGACTAGTCTCAGACAGTGAGAGAAGGAACAAAAATTATCAGGGAAGTAAAAAGATATGAAGGCCATGAAAAGGGCTAGACGATGCTAAAAGGAGAAAAGATGATGGGGGCAGGGCTCGTCAGAAGGACGACGCTTTGGAGTCAAGACATCTGAGTTTTAACCGGATTGGCCACTTACTAGCTGTACCTCCTTGAGCAAGTTGTTTTCAGTGCCTCTTGCTCATTTCTGAAATAAGGCTAAAATAATCCCTGGTTAGCGGACTAAGAAAAATAATACGCACATTATTGGAATATTAGGAACGAGATCATCATGAAGAAAGCGATTATTTAGCGAGCGCTGGACCCACGACGATTACTGTGCCAGGCGCTTTCCTTTACTTCACTTACTCTCCATGCACCTCTCTGCGCTGGGTCCCGCCTACGTTTTACTGCATAGAAAACCGAAGCCCGGACCTCTTCAAGGTCTGACAGTTACAGGCGGCGAAGCCTGGACTCGAACCCGAGTCTAAGGGGCGACGGGCGACCTTCCCGTCGCGTCCCCTTAGTCCTTGAGCCGCCCGGTCCCCCGAGGCCTCTAGGCCTTCATGGGGCCCCCAAGGTCATCTCCCCGAGCCCTGGTCTGGTACTTGTCCCTGTGGATGCACCATGACTCGAGGTGGCGCAGTGCCCGCTTATACAGGCGCATCACCTTCTGCTGGTGGGTCAGGTAGGCCCCCGGCGCCGAGAACGCCATGACGGCGGCTC